ATCGCGCAGGAAGTCCACAGGGAACAACAATGCGGGAATTAGGATGGATTAGGATAATAATTAAGGTTTTAAATTAAGTTAATTATACTTATAACTTCAACTGTTTATATCTCCCAATCCATTCATAAAAAATGTACAGTGCTTTATATCGACATGATCAATTTCATGCATAGAATTTTATAAAAATGTTTCGGTTCAATTTTGAACGGTGCGAAATTTGGGGTACTTCGAAAGTTTGTCAAATTCTTTACCTAATTTATGGAATTTGGGTTACATAAGAGAACATCCAAGCCGACCCCGCCCAAGGAGACACTAGTTCAGGGAGAAGTATCAATCCACATTCCCAAACCCATCCCAGCAAGAGTGTTTCAAGTGCTAAGGATTTGTGCATATTAAATCAGGTTGCACTACCGGGAGAATCATCTCTTTCACTGATCAAGTAGTTGAAGAAATAAACAGTGATCCAAGAAAAAATTGAAGATTTCAGAGAGGATTCTCAACTTTCAGCCGACGAGGTAGAGACACCAACAATTCCAGTCGACCTATGAGAGTGATTCTAACAGAATTAACTATAGTCCTAAAAAATAGTGAGTCTGAGGAGCTGATACTTGAAAAGAGATAATCAGTATAGATGAAATTGTCGAACATCCTGATCGGCATTTTAGCTATTGGGTGGTTGCCACTGAAAGTGGATCAACATGTCAGAAATGAGAAGCTTGTGAGCTACTTTTGAAAGCTTATATGGAGTTACTGGGATATTAAATTTCGTTCAACAGTATGCCCACCGATAAATGGCCATATAAGAGGGATAAACTACAACATTGGAAATTGCCTTAGGAGTTTGGTGGAGAAGAAAATTCTACAATGGGATCCAGACTCTACCAAAGAAGAAGAAGAGGCTTCTTTCGAGTGGTTACTAATGAGAGTTGCCCAGCCAACCACGGATTTCATGCCCAAGTTAGGTCCTCCAGACGAATTGGTTTATTGGATGCACTCTACAAGGTATGAGGAGCGGAAGAGGCAAATTACATATTCGATGGCTTTAGAATTTGCAAGTATATGTCTATATGCCGCTACAACTCAGGTTGTGTCAAAAGAATATGAATACTTATTCTATTAGAATATGCTTTGGGATAACAACACCTACAAGGTTCATTTACCAGGAAGTTACAGTAGCTCTGTCAACTTTAAAGTGTAGCCAGAAGTTTCGACGAATGAAGTAAAAGTTACCCTAACACCGCAAGCTTAACGGGAGTGTCTCCAGCAATTGGGTGGGATGTGGGATTTCCGACGACCAAGCGGACGTCTGCCTATTCACCTGGACCAAACCGGTCCATGTTTTTTCATGTTGTGGAGTCGATCAGTCCTCGTGCGCTACTTCTAATTATCCTATTATTACATATTTTCTTTCTGATGTTCTAGGGTTAGTTTTTGTGCGTTTTGTATCCAGATAGTCACTAGCATCTCTTCTCTACCTTCGAGAGTTGTAACTAAGGGTTCGAGTTGTCCTCCGATTATATCTCTCTCACAAGATGGTGATTATCTTCTCTATCCCCTTCTACATCCTCCGCACGTCGCTCCTCACAACCCTCCATTGCTGCAATCAACCCCGAACAACCGCAAATTGATGTATTCTCTGCAATTTTTCAATTCCAACCACCTAGCCTCACTGCTGCCACCCCGAACAGCCGTCTTCTTGTAGTCCTGTAGTACCTCACATTCCCCGTCACTATTGCCAACATTCACCCTCGTTGCAGCTGCCCGAAAATAGTTATTTTCTGTTGTTATAGCCGACCATCAGTTTCTCTCATTCCAGCTGCTGCCATTAATGCAACTGCACCCCTTCGCTGTCGTCGTCCGGCTCCTCCCTTGCTACCGCAACCCAGAACAGTCCTTCCCAGTTGTTTCCCCACTATCAAGCCCCTCCAGGACAACAAGTGCACTTCTTGTTCCTATAACTTCACACCCCCCTCACAGTTACCGACACATCTTTGTTGACGCCTTGCCTTCAAACACTTCCCACTATTTGCTACCTCTCCAAAGGATCAAACCCTTGTGATTACCACCACCACGAGATCCACCCGTGTTTGTTGCTATTTCTATTTCAGTTTCTAAGATTGTGTTTCTCGGTTTTGAATTCAACAATAAAATTAAATTTCCCTGTTGTTGTTTAAGTTAACACCGGAATAAGTTGGTACCAGAGATAGCCTAACCCTAGTCTTATCTCTGGAGAATCAAACCCCCGCAATCACCCGGAGATCCATCATAGTTGGAGTTTGTTGTGTAGTGTCTGTTGTTATTTCTATTTTTGTTTGTGAGATAGTATTTTCCGATTTTGAATTCAAAAATAATAATTGATTTTCTTATTATTTAGGTTAACTCCGGTATCAAAATTATGAATAGTAATACCAAATATAAGCACAACACTTTAAAACGGTAAAATTGAGTATGGTATATGATAGAGTGATAGGAAAAAATGGAAAGAAAAAAATTTTAAAAAAATGATCAAGTCCATCAGTAAGTTAGAGTGATATACTTATGTGCATGTGTCTAACACCTCATCACTATGTGGTAGGGAGTGGTAGGTTTCACATAAATTTGACATTTTTTTTTTAATCAGACAAGCCACATGACATGTACAGCATGTTGTCCCAAAAGTGTCCAACAAGGTATTTGATGCAAAATATAATCTTAAGCATATCATTAATCATATTTAATTAATTTCTTAATTACTTATGTAACTTTAATTGTTGCATAGAAACAAAATATGAAAAGTACTACTGTTACTTGACTCATCAAAGACGGTGATAGAAGGAGATTTCATGGATGCTTCTCGAAATTGGATGAATATAGTTCATCTACAGAAATTGAGAGTACGACTCTGAGTGGCCTCATTAGTAGTGACTATGAGAGCTGACTATGATCAAGAACTCTTCTAAATCTTTTTGTGCAAGTTCGAACAAGCTTTCTTTGTATGATACAGTTTCTGGCAGCAGTATCAAACTACCTTCGAGCCTTGATTATCAAAATTCAGAGTTCCACTTCTATAATTGCCCTGAGACTGAGATTTACTGATGTATGTATTTTTCTGGTTAGCAAGAACATCAGGTTGTTGTACAGATGATGCCTGAGAACTTGGAATGGGATGCATCACTAGAATAGGCTTTCTTCAGAGTAGTGACTCATAAGTCAGAAAGGATCTGTGATTTGACACCTTCATAATGCGAGTTGAGACTAACTAGAAAACTCATAATAGTCATTTTTTCTCTTTGAGTCTGTTGAGTCCAGACATAAACACTAAATGATAAGAGTCCATTCAATTCTTCATAAACACATTTAAAGTGCATGTGATATGTGTTAAATGATTGATCCTGTTGTTCAACTCGATAAAACTCCTTGCATACATCAAAAACTCGAGAAATATTCTCTCCCAAAACACAAATGTCAATTCCTCCATCACATCTTTAACACAGTCGCAATGAGCAATATGACCAGATTGATTTGGTTTGATAAAGTTATGTATTTATATCAAAAGCTGAGCATCAACTCTCATTCACTCAGAGTAATTTGAATCAGTCTCAATTGGGGGATTATCAATGAGGTGACCATCCTTATGTAGAGTCTCACAATTTTATTCAAATAAAAATAATTGATGGCATTTAACTTTTCATCCATAATGTTAATCACCGATGAGACCAAACTTATAATAACATGTTTATGTTCCATAGCCATGATTACCACCAATTATTCAGGGAGGTTGAATATGGATGAGTCGTACGGAGACAAACTCCAGACAAGAACAATGTCGAGTTGCAGGAGACAATTGACTCCACAAATGTCGTAGGAGTCGAACTAAACAGCTAATGAATCTGACAAAACAGACGAAGCCTTGTTAAACCAACGAAACCTAACGATGTAGACGGAGCTGATTAAGATGAAGATAAAGCCACTGAATGATGTAGTCGATGAAGTCGAACCTGGCTGACAAACTCGAAGACATAGTCGAAGCCTCACGATGCAAACAAAGCCGGTCGTTGCAGACGAAGATAAGCGATGCAGTGAAGCCAAACGAAACAGCCGACAAAGTCGAACATGAAGAAGGTGAAGCAGACGACCCAATCAAGATGAAAGAGCGACACCGACGTAGCCGAACGTTGCAGATGAGTCGAATGATGAACTATTCCCTAATGCAGTCGAAGGATGAAGGCGAAGTAGACGGAGACGAACAAAGCAAAGGAAGTCATGAGTGGCTCCGGTACCATATGACAAGAGAACTATCTTTCTTCTTATTCCCCAATTGAACGCATATGTTAAATATTTATAGACACTCCTATTTCTATAGATTAGAAATATCTCTAATATAGAAATAATTATGTAATTAGATCTCTAAATAGATTACTAATATACAAACTTCTTAATATATAATCATTAGATTTAATACTTTCCATAACAAATAGAAAAACATACAAGTTTTTTATAGCATATACCCTCTACTAGTACTTCGGAATTTTTCCACTTACCATCCACTAAGTTAAATTACCTACAGCAAATACATCCAAAACTCAAGAAAATTATCTAGTAGTGATCAAGAACCCTGCAAGCATGAAAAGTTAGATATGCTGCTGAATAGCAGCAGTAGCAGTAACAAAATCTCGTCCCAAAAAAGGTTTAGCTTCATGAAGATTTTCTGCAATGTTCAATCTAGCTAAAAGAATATGCTTTTCAAGCTCAATTAACATCTACTGTCCTTAATGTACTTTATAAGTTAAACTAATCCATAACATGCACAGAAGCGCTTAGTTCAAATATCAAAGTAAATTAAATCAGAACCAATAAAAAATAGAAGAATAAGATGCAAAATTCTTTTATAAACATGCCATACTGACATCAGTGAAATTCAAATATGATAGCAGTGCACAACTATCTCATCTGTAACTAAAAACAAATAAAAGATAAGAAAAATCATAAAATTATAATAAAAGATGTTTAAGAATTCACACCTGAGCTTCTTCCATCAAGGCATCACTCCCTTCAGGGTTTCTATCAGAATCATTACCTTGAGCTGGCTGCAAAGATGTGCCAGCATCGTCAGGTTTTCTCTCATCATCCGACTTCACATTAGTTTCATGTTTTTGTTCACGGATAGACACCTGCAATTATATCACATTACCCCTGGCAGATAAACAATAATCGATACAGTTCATAATAAACATCATTACGTTGGTTAAAATATTTCACGTAAATTATGCGGGTATAATATACTAGCTGGGCAACAAGTAAGAAGTCAGAACAGCTAGAAGGAAAACAAACCTAGGAAAAAAAGTCAGTCCTATGTCTGGAAACTACTGTTAGAATAAAAAAGGATTTGCGGATTCATCATAGTGGTTCTACTTTTAATAGGTTTAACATTTACAATTGAGCAGTGGACCACAATAAAACACTCATAATTGTGCAGCATCTCATTAGTTATCACTTTAAATTTAATTCATTTATCTTTCACTAGTAAATGAATAAATTTTACCAAAACAATGACCAAAACATATTACTCCATACCCATAACATATTAAAAAACAAATCGATCCTGCAAGCCATGAAAAAGCTTTTTCATTGCACCTTAGGAATTTAATGCTAACTTTTACAGGACAGTGCACAACAAGATACTTTGGATTATCGTTTCTTATTATTCAAGAACCCGTTAGGACCTCAAAGCAGTGTATCTCAATTATTGTATTTCAAAGCCCAAAATCTCAAAGCATTGCGCAGTAGACGTTAAAATTTATTAAAATCAATATTTAATGCTACTAATTAAGTTTAATTAAAATTGTTTAATGTCAATTTAAAATTTAGGCATTTTCAAATTATTTTTGATGCAACTGTTCCCGCATGCGCCTGACATAATCGGCCCAGGGAAACTACTCCCGCTTGGTCCTTTTTTTTATCTAATTCCCACAAGAAAAAAACCGCAAGCAAGGAAGCTTCCCATTTCTCCTCCTCAACACAGTCACGACTAGGGCTAGCGAGGAAAGCAACAATGCAGGAAACTCCCATCTTTCTTCTACTTCTAAATTGCACCTGTCTGAAACCATTGAGAAAGATGGAGAAAGCCAGTGTAAGTTTTGTTTCGTCTCCTTGCGTGCAATTCCCCATGCTGGCATTCTCTGCTCCTTCGTGTGACCAGAGCCGTCACACGACCCAAGCCGAACACTTCCCTGCACAAAAAGCCACATGATCGTCTACCCTAGCCCGCATGAAGCCGCAACCCCCTCATCGTTTAACATACGAAACCCAAGCTTACACCTTGTTCTCCCTAATTCCTACCCCTACACGATTACCCAAGTCGAGCCTCTTCTCGTGACCAAAATTATCGCGGTACATGCAATCAAAGATGACTGGGAAAGCAATGGTGAGACTAAAACCTACAAAGTAACCGGATCACAGCATGCAAAGACCCTCAAATCCGCCTCGTCGTTTCTTCGCCTCTGTGTCGAAACCCTTCGTTGGTATTCTTTTCACCGAAATCTGCTTCTCCTATTTCCTTCTTCCTGTTAATTGAAGAAACCCTTGACGAAAGAAGCCCATAAGCACAGGCGGCAGACATAATTGCTCGGTTCAAGGATAAAAGCAACTATGAGCTAAGAAAAATTTTAAATGGCAGATGCATAGAGTTCCATTTTTCAACTATCTTAAGCGAGTCAAAGTCTAAAATAATATCACATTTGTCAATATCGTTGCTTCACTCGAAAAGATATAAAAACAAGCATGGAGGGAAGATTTTGAAAATGTCCACTCGATGAAGCACGAACCCGCCTGTGGGAATTAAGTGCCGTATGGGGTAAACCACAGACTCATTTGGAAAACTCTCTTTAAAATTAGTAATTTAGAATACCCATCCTTGGAAAAAAGCGAGTACCTGTTCATAAGAATTAAGTATCATTCGGAAAAAGTAAAATGCCGCTCAGGGATCTTTCTGCTTGAGATTTTACACTTTTCTACAGGTATATTAAAAGTTTGTTGCGTCTTTTGAGGTCGCGGGTTAAATGTTATATTTTGCTCCCTGACTGTAGTGTTTCACGACACTGACCACTGACCAGCAAATCTTTTGAGATAGTTGGGAAGGCTTGCATTTTCTCGTGCCCCCAAGCGAGGATTAACCCGGAAGGATGCCGAAATTTCTGGTGATCTTAGACTCGCAGATAATTTAAAATTTGGACTATTAAATCTAGTGAACTTGACTAAAATATGTAATATCATAAATTAGAGGGGCTAAGCTTAAATTAAATATGAAATGACATCAATTGGGAGGCTAAACTTAAATTGAATATCAAATTCTACAAATTAGGAGTTGGGCTTGACTTGAATATTAAATATCATAAATTTGGGCTAAATTTAACACATAAATGTCATTTTGAAAAGTTGAAATAAAGAATTACTATATCAAATTTCGCCAACGAACTCGCAACATATGTGCAAGTGAACAGAAGGCAGCATAAAAAAGAAGGGTCTAAAGTAAACATATGCATGAATCAACATATTCATTCAAATAAGGTAAATTTGTATAAATTCAAGTATTACATGTGTCTTAAAATAATTATTGATTCAACTCATACTTTAAAATTATGCAAATTAAATTAAGACATGCAAAGTTGTCTAAAATAGTCAAATATATGAAATTAAATGTCTACATGTGCTCTGACCATTGTATTGAATACTCCAATATGAGGTTCGAGAAAATTGCGCGGGCTGATCGAGTTGTCTTGTCTATAGGATAGAGTTGTAAGTCTCACCCAATTAATCTGATCATCCTCCTCACAAGGACTAGAGTTAACGAATCTAGTTGTTTTGAAATAAATGTTTAAATCTTAAAATAAAAATTTATAAGTCAAAATAACCTACTCTGATCCTCATCCTTATAAAGACAAGAGTCAACAAAACTTATACCCTAAAAAATCTAAACAAATGAAATTAAACACCCCTTTAAATATAAAAGTTTTAAATGATTAAATCTCCGTTGTTGGCCAAGTTGATAGAATATTTCAATCGGAATGGTTTATTTTAAAATAATGTTTCAAAGCCTATTTTGAATTCAATTATTCCAATTACTGAACCCGATAATCTGTAAGTGAGACATGTTGACAATGTCGACAAAGTTCAAAGTTAAACATTCCCCAGTTATGGTCGAGTTGATAGAAGATTTCAACTGAAGTGGCCTATTATAAAATTATGTTTCAAATTATATTTTAAATTTAATTTTTTCAATTAATGAACCAAATCCTCTCTAAGTGAAACAGTCGACAGGGTTCAAAAATAAACAATCCCCAATGATGGCTAAGTTGATAGAAGATTTCAACCGGAGGGTCTGTTTTAAAATTATGCTTCAAATTCTATTTTGAATAATTATTTCAATTACCGAGCCTGCTCCTCTGTAAGTTGGACAGTGTAAACAGGCTTCAAAGAAAAACTTTCCTCAATGATGGTGGTGTTGTTCGAAAATTTCAACCAGATAACTCAATTTTTAAAACCAAGATTTTCTAAGTAATCAACTAAGATATTCAAGTTAAAATTAAATCACTTAAAAGTAAAAGCAAAATTCATTCGCTCTCCGCAACATTGTAGCGAGGATGAAACTTTTGATTGACTTCAGCTAACAAATAGTAAATGTCATAGCAAGTGTATTTTTTATATTTATAATCAAACAATCACATGCAAGTAATGACGTGACCTGATTCATTTGTCTACATGGTTCTGATATGAAATGACCCACAAAGTAGCAGTTACGATCTAAGTCCTTGAACGGATGGTTGCCTCCACATGATAACATTATATTACAATCACAGTTGTAGCTTGTATACTCCCGACGACTTTCTACCCTTTGAGTTTAGAATCATAAAGATATAATTATTGGCATAAGTGCTTTTGTTAGCTGAGGTCGACTTAAAATTGTCCCCTTAGACAAACATCCACCAAAGATTGGCAAGGGTCTCTTGCACCACGCAACTCATGGTTGTTGACAAGAATCCCTCAGTCAGGTTGAGTCAACTACCTCCTCTGACTAAGTAGATCAAGGACCAAAACAATTTGAGATTACAGAACCATGATATCTTGATTTGGTTTTGTCACCATTTCCCACGCCGTTTTAAGTGATAAATTTTGCAGCTTAAATCTTAAGCATGTTGTTACATATGTTAAGTATTCAATTCTTAATGACTAGCCTTAATCGAAAGTGTTCTCCCATTATCAGGAAGACTAATTAACCATAGGGACTTTCATCTATGGGAAACCTCGAACTCCTATAAAAAAATCCTTGCAAAATGAGGGCAAAATATTTAGTAAGTGTCTTATCTACAATTCAATCTGTCTTCTACAAAATTTAACCCTCAAAAGCTCTTTCAACAATTAAAAGAAACAAAATAAATAAATAAATGCAGAGAGTCCTCAGAATGAGTCTAAGAATTTTTTGAGCCCACAAATTTCTGACGACTCCGTTGTGAAAGGTTTCTCTTTCCATCTTTGACTAGTCATATATTTATTCACTATAATAGCATCTTAAAAAAAAGAAGATAAATAAAAAGTTAATTTGCTTTCATTTTATGTAATTAATCGAAGCTTGAGTAAACTCTATTTGGTGAGTATTGAAGCATGACCAATAAATTTTAGTCTAGGTGTCAGTTGCCCAAAGGTCTCAATAGAATGATAAATTTTATAAGGTAAACATTGAGGCATGACCCTTGTGTATGCTGCCAAAAGATCCCAACAAAAAGATAAATTGATTCTCAGATACATAAAAAATTATTTTAGCACGTAAACAAATTGATTCTCGAATAAATACAAAGCTTTTTGAATTATATGTTTCATTAGTTTCTCTCACACATAATTTCATTGTATGTTGTATGTTTGATATTCTTATATAATTATAACAATATTACACATCACCTTCATTCATAAACTAATAAATATTTACATGTTGCAAATAATAAAAAAAATATAATAAAAAGAAGATTAATTTATAAGTTATATTGTAAGGTTCCAAGTTGAGTCAAAATGAACAAAAATTTAAAACGTAAATTCATATATATTATTTTTTTTTCTTTTTTGAAAAGGCAAAATTCATTGATAAAAAAGAGAAGATACAAAGATTTCAGTGAGTGGGTAC